CATTTTGGGAAAACCCTCACCTTGTAGAGGGTGTGTAGGAGAATGGCTCGTATTAAACACATTATATATTGTGTTCAACTTCGATAGATAAAATGGCTTCCGAAATTATGAAAAAGAGAAAGGGGGAGAACGAGAGAGAGAGAGAGAGAGAGAGAGAGAGGGAGGGAGGGAGGGAGAGAGAAGGAGGAAGGGAGGGAGGGGGAGAGAGAGACAGACAGACAGAGAGATAACAAGAGAGAAAACGGGGAGGGGGAGAGCCACAGACAGACAGACAGACAAATAGAGAAGGACAGAAAGAGAAAAATAGAGGGAAGACAGGTGGGAAGAAAGAGAGACAGAGAAAAGGAGAGAGAATTAGGAAAGTCTTAAAAATTGAAACAAGACATCACGACATAAAATTCATGCATTTAAAAAAACAAAAAAACAAAGATGAATAACATAGCTGCCACTCAGGAATTTCAATAAAGGAGGAAATTCAAGCGAAGGCGTACGCGTGCTCCCCGAAGGCCGGAGTAAAACCAGTGAGATCCAGAGGCAATATCTTGGAATATCTAGCCCATGTTTTTGGAAGGGAAAAGTGTCATATTTATTAACAATAGGCTACTGAATTAAAATGTGTTTGAAAAAAAACAAAAAACAAACTAAGACAGTAAGTTGACGAACAAGCATTTGACACAGTTTGGTGACTAAAAATCCAGTGTTTGTTGCCAGCTGGTGTCTCATAAAAAGATTTCTTTCCCTTAAACTTGACCATTGATGTAGAGCAGTATTGGATCAAGGAGGCAACACCTTTGCCACTGCACTGAGCCATTTCTTTGTCGCACCAAACCCAAAATGCAGCAAGCAGCTTGTTCAATTTTCTAATGAACTTTTCAAATCGCACACCGTCTGCTTCTTTCTCATTCCAGCTCCTTTTATTTTTGCATTTTGCATCATTTTAATTTCTGCCGTTTTTAATGACAACTCCGCGTGCCATCGTCCTGATGCTCGATCGACACTGTTGCTCCACAATAAACAATGTGAATCTAGCGCTAGGCCTAGAAGAACGGAAGTAGAAAGCTACGGGTTGACATGCGTAAGCTGCCTTTTCGTCTTTCTCCCAGTTCGATGTTTTCCGTGTGTAAAAAAAAAAAAATCGCAACCGAGAGCAGTCCAGCAGAGGAAGGAGAAAAGTAGCGGGAAAAGCTAGATGAAGTGGAGTTAGCAGAAAAGTGGCAGCTATGATAATTAAAAACCAAAGACACATTATAGACTCCTTACACTCACACGGTAACAGAAATTACCCATCCCAGCATAACATTTCAGACTATCAGACAGAGACTTCAAAGACAGAAAGACGATTCAAAGACTGTTCAAACCAGAAACAGAATGAGAAGCTTTTCAGTTGTGAGGACAGACACTTCTTAAAAAATAAGCATGTGACAACATTCCTTGACACCATGTTGCACCCCTCACCGTTTCTATATTTACAAGGATTCAGTTCCTCTCTACAAATCCGCACGTTATTTATGAGGTCCTCCGATCTCCATGCATCTTGTCCACCAGGGCATGGTATATCAGGAGGTAAACATCTGGACCAAAAAAAATGGTTCATTTTTAAATATTACATTCCACAACTTGACATAACCATGAAACAAGAACTGTATTATCTTGAGGTCCCTGTCAAATTAACATGAAGAGTGACATTTTTGTTGCTTAGACCACTAAAGGAAGCATCATTTTCGAGAGTGCATATTATATATACTATATATATATATATATATATATATATATATATATATATATAGTAAAACCTGTGTAAGACGGCCACCCATTGTCAAGGAGAAAAGTGGCGGTTTAAGACAGGTGGCCGTCTTAGGCAGGACTGATGAAGATGAAGAAAACAAACCGTTTCCATCTGAAGTCCCAATCGAAAGTAGCCGCATTGTTGTTGTTTTTGTTGTTGTTGGTTTGTATTTTGTTCGTTATTTTTATTTTGTTGCTGATTTTCCGCATTGGTGACAATAAAACGAAATGTATCAGACGAGGAAGACCGAGTGCTATGGTCAAACAAACACATGGGTCGCCACCACTTGGAAAACGAGCGACGTTTCTGTCGCAAGTTCATATTGATGTCCATTGTTACTTCGTTACAGACTGGATAAACAGTGACAACTCATCTCACATACGATTTGTGTATGAGTTCTGGGCGGGGCTTATGGGTTATGAGGGATCACATGCTTACCTCATCAGCAGCTGAAAATTGGTACCTATTGGTCAACAGTGGGAGGGGCCTACGCAACATGATTGGTTGGAGGGACTACCTAACAACAAAGACAGGTGATTGGATTATGACAGCTGGCCCACAACGCCAGTAGCCAGTGCACAATTTATGACAAAACGTAATGGAGTCACTGAGGTGGCCGTCTAAGACAGGTGTTATTGCTTAGTGTGGTAAGGGTTGTGTGTTAAAATATGGTGGCCGCGGCCGCGTTGGACAGGTGCCCGTTTTACACAGTTAAATTATATAGAAAAAACGCAAGGGGGGAAATGGAAAGAGGCCGTTTGTACAGGCGGCCGTCTTATAGAGGTGGCTGTCAGGGCAGGTTTGACTGTATTAGTGTTCAGTAGAAATTATATCAGGTCAATTAGTGTTGTGTCAAATAGTGTCACATACCCTGACCTGACTTGATTATTAATGGCGATAAAGCAATACCTATGAACAGCTTTACCCCTAGCAAAATGAGCTGGGACAAAAGAGGGCGTGACATTACAACTACTAGGACGAGAGGGAGGTTTGAGCATTGAACTTTACTTCCAATCAAAACTTCCTATGATGACTCAAAGTCTATGTGCACTTTTTTTCTTTAGCTTGTTCACTTTCGTCTGACCGCCTTAAAAAAAATTTAGCTAGCTCATTTAGGAATCTACCTAGGTCAACGAAACTTTGTATGGCACTTCTGCAGGCCAGCGACCAAACAAAAATATTTTTTACAAAAAATTTTGATCCAATTTTTAAAAAGTTTTTCTTTTTGGGCCCTATATTAAAAACTGCTCTTTGGATACATACACAGCATCACTAAAATAAATGACTTACAGTAACATTGCCTACAAATTGCTTATTTTGAGACAGCGACACCAACCTGCCCCCACATTTCAGTGTAAGCTTGAAGATTTCATCCCCCCGCTGTCTGGACGACTCCATGTGAGTCCAGAAATTTAATCATCCCGTCTCTTGAATCGTGTTTCTCAGGCGAACGTTAAAGTGTGATGTTGAAAAAAAACATGTCAACTTTTAAACATTTTAGGTGCATGCTGTAAATTCCCTCTATAATTTTTTGGACCTGCTTTCGGTTCATATCAAAGAGCACGTGTAGGAACCTACGTTTGCAGTGACCTTTATGAATGGGCTTTTTGATTCCGTTGGTCATCCAACTTTTAGTCCCATATATGCAAAGGTCTGAAAAGATTTAACGGAGCGATTTTATTTTATCTTGTTTTAACAGCGGTCAGACTGAAGTAAACAAGCTATAATTGTGTCGAGGCTGAAGGAACAAGGATCCTGACAAAGACAGTTTTTAAAAAAAAAATTTTTAAAGGTGAAAACAGTTTGGACTTCACAACAATGGCAGATGAGTTAGATTGTCAGGCAAGGAAAGCCAACATAAAGTGGACTAAACACTATTTATTGTATAGGAGTTAGGCTAAGTCAACTTACAAGTACATAATATCTGTGTTCTTTGTTAAATCAGCCTCAGTGACGTTCTGTATTGGATTCGCTTCCAGTGACCTGTGTGAGAAAGGGAACAATCATTTAAGAACTAGACAGATACCATAAATTGATCTAGGCCTGAAAAAAAGCAGGTATACAGTCAAAATACACAGAACAGAAAGAAGTAAGATTTTCCAGCATTTACGTTTTAGACAGTGTGTGTGTGTGAGTGTGAGTGTGTGTGTGCGTGTGTGTGTGTGTGTGTGTGTGTGTGTGTGTGTGTG